TCAGTTTAGTATTCAATAAACATACTTACCCAACTAATGACGTCACACGTTGTGCTGAATCAGCAATTTATATTTTGCACATTTTTGCGTATAACTTCGGAACTAGATGAGATAGAATAGAGCATTAAACGGCCAATCGGCTTATTTTTTCATGCTCTTTCAGACGAAGCAATAAGATAGATGAAGCAATTTTCATTGCCCATACCCTGTATACATTATTTAATTGCTTTCAGAAGTGCTTTTTTGCATTCTACAGGGTGTCCCAAAAAAACCCGAAAATTATTGAAATCACTTATTGTTAAATTTGAATGCCTTACCAAACAGCTGGACGTAATGATGCGTAAAATATTGACAAGGTGCATGTATTAGAATTTAGTTAGGAATATCTCCTGGTAAAGTGCGCGATTTTCTGCTCCTGGGAATTAAAAACAGCTTCTTAAACAGTTTCTTTATGCATAAAATTTACTTATGTCAATCATTTATGCACTCGTGGGAACCAACAGAGCGCTAAGGCAATCAAATTCTAACAATTAAATTGTTATTGGTGATTTCAATAGTTTTCGTTTTTTTGGGACACCCTGTACAAGAGTGAAACAATACTGTAGGCCTTCTTAGATTGATATGCAAAATAGCCCACTTCAATGTTATCACTTATCAACACTTTTGAGAAATGTACTACTTTTGGCTTCAGTTGGAAGGATCAAATGAAACAATAGTTACCACATCAATATCATTTAATATATGTATATTATTATTAGTGCCATGTGTAGTTTTAGTAATGTGTTTTTATAGAGGGCCACAAATTTTCAAGGATTTGCTGTTTGGTGCAACATTTTAAATAAATCTCATTAAATGTTACACAATCATAGGCATACAGTACTGCCTAGAAATAAGTTAACACTGCGGTTCGGTCGCGGTTCGTGCGGTTTGCGATCGCGGTTCGTGCGGTTTGCGCGGTTCTTTCACCGACCGCAGAAAACCATGGCGTCGTGTTCCGACGTTTCCCGACTACAACGATTATCATACGCTTTCTAGTTACAAGATTTATATTTTAATATGCGATTATATTTGTAGGTCTTTATTATATACTATGTAAAACATGCCGTATAATATACCGGGACCCGTGATATGAATTTCACTGTATAGGTTATAAGTAATGTATAAAGTTATTTATCATCATTATCATAGAGATAGATAGATATTTTATTAAAATAGATCATTGCAGCCCCATAAGCTGAATTACGATCATTTTTACAATATATTCTAGCAAACTATACTATAAACTTTAAAATTTAACTTATTAGTTCTGTTCGGGATTTTTATAAAAACTCTAAAATATTAATATTAAGACTACTAATGTACATTAGTTCAACTTCTAAGAATAGTCGAATCTATTGTTATTATTTACGTTAATAATAATTATAAAAATTATTCATTATAAAACTACTCTTCAATCTGTTTGTTTTGACAATTGGTAATTGGAAGAAACGTTTTCGCCTAGTGCCAATATTACTATTGTTTCTGGGTGGTAAAATATTATGTAGTTTATGATTTTCGTTCTGCACAACTTGTTGGAAGAGAAGCTCATTTGCCACCTCTCTTCTTTTACGTAGAGAAGTTATTCGGATATCTCTTGGGCCCGGATGTAGGAAAGATCAGGATGCAAAATGCGCAGTGCCCGCTTTTGTAGTCTTTCTAATACATCTGACAAGTACTGTGGCAGTGCGTTGTGATGGACAGGGCTCGCGTATTCAGCAACGGGACGTATACATGTTTTATAAAATAGCAATAAATCAGGGATCGGTAATTTTGCTCGTTTGAGTTGTCGAAGGAAATAGAGACGCGATGCTACTTTCTTGCAGGTCATGTCTATATGTAAGTTCCACTTGGGATCGCCGGAAACAATGGTACCCAACAATTTAGCTGATGAAACAATTTCTATTTCCTTTCCGTTAATGGTGATAGGGTCCATTAAAGAATCCGCCTTTGAAAATGTTATTCTCAGTTCCTTACACTTAGATTCATTCAAATGGAAATTGTCCTCTTCTGTTTGAGTCACGAAATCATCCACATGCAATTGCATAGAGCTTGCTTCATTTTTCTTCACTATTTCGGACATGGTGGAATCATCGATATATTTCCATAGATCTAAATCAGGTATCTTTACATCGTTAATCATAATCAAGAACAATCAGGGGCCAAGTTTTGTTCCTTGTGGCACCCCGGCACGTAACTCAGCCCACTCAGAAAAACAATCGCTGCTCATCTTCACTCTTTGCTTTCGATTTGATAAAAAATCTAAAATCCAGCGCATTATAGATGTTGGAAAATCATACGACGAGAGCTTACGTACCAAAACGTTATGGTCAATTAAATCGAATGCTTTCCGAAAATCGAAGAGCATTACTCTTGCTGTAGATCCATTTCCATAGGTAGATTGGAGCCAGGAGTGGACCATGTTGATTAGTGCAAAGGTCGTGCTAGAATTAGGCACAGTTCCGTACTGCTGTGGATCGACATTTTTTAAAACAGCTGGTTTAACGTACCTTTCAACGACATATTCTTCTTAGTCTAGGACCTGTATAGATGTTTGTATGCATTTCATTTAGCACAGGTAATCTCAACTGTTTTAGGGTAAAATGACCATGGCGGTCAACATGGCATATGTGCCAAAACCTGAATCCGGGGCGAAAGTTCTGAAAATGACCCCGCCCTGAAACGGCAGTGCCGACATAGCTCTAACTTCCGAAAAGCAAAAGCGACAGCCTTTCTGAAGTGCTTACAGTGTTTAGAAGGGTTGCTTTTAGGGGTGGTCATTGGAAGGAAAAATTTGTCTGAGTATAATATTTTACAAGAAAATGACCATGCACCACCCCAGGTAAATTGCTGATTATGCACAAAATAACTAATATGCCTGGCAGAAATTTAATGTTCTTATTTCCTAAAGAAAATTATCATGGGATGAAAAACTATGCTTAATTTAATATAATTATTGTAGTTTTCATAAGGATTGTCATTGTTTTCTTTAAATATAATATATTCATTTTAATACACTCACTACCCACGAAAACACCATTTCAGCTATACTTTGCCGTCTTGTTTGCTTTTTATCGCCGAGTCTCGCTGATATCATCCAGTCGTTGTACTTTTACATAATGATAGATGGCTAAAGACGATTTCGACGAAGTTTAATGAAGTTTTGAAACAGTGCAGTATATTTTATCTTCGATATCGTGTCCTTCGATATGTCGTCAAATTGCCGCCATTTTAATGGCTCGCCGCTTCTCTGCCCGATAAATGCACTTCTTCGTCTTCTTATGTGTTTAGACTACAGTATCCAAGAGTACTTCGTTGTAGAATAGTCCCAATTGAAAAAATGAAAACATTTATTTGGCTTTGATGGCAAAACCCTCCAGGTGATTATTTACGTTCAAAATAAAATACAAAGCATTTGAAAGTCACGCGCAACCTTCGCGAAAACTTCTCGTGGACACATGACAGGGGGGATGAATGTTTTCACGAAACGTTTGTTCGCCACCACACTGACCACAGAAACCTAAAATATATTGTATTTATTGTATTTTTATGAATTATGATAAAACTACCCAAATATTTATTGTTTTTATGATAATTCATAAAAATACAATAAATACAATATATTTTAGGTTCCTGTGGTGGCGAACAAACGTTTCGTGAAAATATTCACCCCCCTGTCATGTGACCTCGAGAAGTTTTCGCGAAGATTGCGCGTGACTTTCAAATGCTTTGTACTTTATTTTGAACCTAAATAATCACCTGGAGGGTTTTGCCATCAAAACCAAATAAATGTTTTCATTTTTTCGATTGGGACTATTCTACAACGAAGTACTCTTGGATGCTGTAGTCTAAACACATAGGAAGACGAAGAAGTGGCATTTATCGGACAGAGAAGCGGCGAGCCATTAAAATGGAGGCAATTTGACGAAATATCGAAGGACACGATATCGAAGATAAAATATACTGCACTGTTTCAAAACTTCATTAAACTTCGTCGAAATTGTCTTTAGCCATCTATCATTATGTAAAAGTACAACAACTGGATGATATCAGTGAGACTCGGCGATAAAAAGCAAACAAGGCGGCAAAGTATGGCTGAAATGGTGTTTTCGTGGGGGGTGAGTGTATTAAAATGTATTATATTTAAAGAAAACAATGACAATCCTTATGAAAACTACAATAATTATATTAAATTAAGCATAGTTTTCATCCCATGATAATTTTCTTTAGGAAATAAGAACATTAAATTTCTGCCAGGCATATTATAGTTATTTTGTGCATAATAAGCAATTTACCTGGGGTGGTGCATAGTCATTTTCTGGTAAAATATTATACTTAGACAAATTTTTCCTTCCAATGACCACCCCTAAAAGCAACCCTTCTAAACACTATAAGCACTTCAGAAAGGCTGTCGCTTTTGGTTTTCGGAAGTTAGAGCTATGTCGGCACTGCCGTTTCAGGGCGAGGTCATTTTCAGGACTTTCGCCCCGGATTCAGGTTTTGGCACATATGCCATGTTGACCGCCATGGTCATTTTACCCTAAAACAGTTCAGATTACCTGTGCTGATTGAAACGCATACAAACATCTATACAGATCCTAGACTAAAGCGATCTAAATCAAAGTGCAATGGGCCATGAGATAATTCGTATATGGCCGCATTAAAGCTACATCATCTAGATGGCTAAATGGTAGAGGAAAAGGCTCCATAGATGAGACAATATTAGCCATTAATTAATATTACAAAACAACAAAGAAAACACACAAACTTATTATCCTAATTTAACATAGTAAGGTCCTGTAGTTTGGTTAGCTTGATAATCTGTTCGTTTTCGGACTTTCGTAGGCAAACGATTTTATTCTTGACCCAGCAGAACTTAAAATTATTTGCCCGCTTATACTTGTTGGCTTCAAACAGCAGCTCTTGCAGGCGTGGGGTTAAATGTTGGTAGATCTGAAGGCTGTCTAATTTCGTGGTCGATGGAGTTGCTCAGGTTGAACATTACTAGTTTGTTTTCTGGCTACAATTACTTTTTCTTTCGCCAAACGGCGTACAAATTTACAGATAATTGCGTTCGATCGGTTAGATTGCCTTCTCGCAGGAACACGATGGGCAATGTCCACATCGTAGATCGAGACATCTGCCCCTATGGCAGTACATAATTTCAGGCACATACTCCCAGTTTCGTCGGCCGATTCATTCGGGTTTTGTTGAGGCATACCAGTAATTTTAATATTGTATTGGTAATTATAATTTTCGATTTGCTCAACGGCGTTTGCAATGACCTCGCATTTCTTTGAAATAATATTAACTTGTTGATTTATATGTTTTAATTCCTTCATTGTATTATTTTTAAACAAAATAAGATCGTCATTTTGAGCACTTCTAAGGACTTATCTTTATCGGCTGTTGACTCGGTTGACTGGGAAGCATGTCTGCCATCTTGTTCAATCAGGCTTTCGTTCTTTTTCGAAATATCCGCGGTTATTTGCTTCAAATTTCCTTGAAGTTCTTCAATTTCCTCTCGTAGCTGTTGGTTTTCTTTACGGAGTTTAGCAGTCGCCATTTCAGAACGAATAGTTCGAAAATATCTCAAAAAAATTCAAATTTCAAGGAGCTGCTCAAGATACGTCCTGTCTCGCTCAACAGGTGGGAAATTTGTCTGAGCATGCGCGAGTAAAATGAGTCACGCAATTGTGTGGAATACACGCAACGCGTGTTTACAAAAAAGCACAATCGTGTAAATATTGCAAAATGTTTGTACAAAATAAATGACTGTTTTATGTTGTAAGAGTGAATATGTTCTAAATTAATCATACAGAACTTTTTAGTGACGTTCTATTTCAGTACCCTGCCATTGTCTCTGGTGGGCTGTCCGTGTGCATTCGATCTGAAACAGTTGCTACTTTGCTGTCGAAGAATTTCGAATGTTTACATGAAAATAGAGGCAAGTCATGCATTTTACAACCTCTTAAACTATATGAGCCCCTATTTTTACGCTTATACCCAAGATATCAAATAAAAGTACATGAAACAGAGAATATTTGTAGAAAGTTTTATCGTGAGGCCACGGCCAGTTTTTAAAATATCTTTATTTCTGTTCCGGTCATCACCAAAATTACACAAAAGCCGGGCTTGAATATACAACAAATTTTGAATCGCATCAAGCTCAAAAATACTTAACGTGTAACCAAAATATGCTCATGAAATCGAAATTAATAGCTAAATTTTCAAACTAGACCCTTCTCGAAGCGGTCTTCATGAAGGAAGTTCACATTTCGGCCTTTGATTCTTGGCAAAAATTTGACCACAACACGTGGGAAGCAACTGGGTCTCAAAGACTGAACTAAAACATTGTGAGCCCCTATTTTCCTGACGATATGTTTGATACCTACAAACGCCGAAAACTTTTTTCTTTTCATTTAGCTATATTTGAAATTGAGGCCACGGGCTATTTTTGAGAAAATACAGTTCAAAGTCAAGCTATTTTTACATATTTTCAAAATTTGTTAAATTTCGCGAGCTTGTATTTTGAACTTAGACAGCTGAAGTTACATTAACAAACATAGGATGGAAAATTTGAGGCATATAAAGTTAATTTCAACTTACATTTCATTCTCAAATCACGTCTTTCTTCGTTTATTACGGTTTTAAACAAGCCATAGATCGACGTATACGCTATTTACTCCCATGTTCACGTCGCCATATGAAATTCTTCCAATCACTCGATTACAAAACAATCATCCCAAAACAAAGAATTCATGATCGACTTTTAAAAGAATAACCAATAATTTGTAAATCGTTGAATGGAAAGCAAAAAATCGTCAGCTAAAACAGCTTCTTGCTAACTTTCTGCTTTGTTTTGAATGTAAATGCAATGAGCTTTGTTTCTGCCCGCAATTTTTTGGTCAGCGACGACAAATTTCCCACCTGTTGTCTCGCTCACTGCTCACATGCTCCTCTTTGACGAAAGAAAGCAAAGCTATTTGCATGCGAGAATTTGAAATTATTTTATTGAAAACTCAAAGTTTATCGATAAATTCGCCAATTTAATAATTTAAGGCAGCTTCAAAAGTTTTATAAATAACATTTTAAAACGTTTTGCGAAGCTTTTGTGGTTGAATTTTACCTTAAATTGAAGCTTATGTTACGTATAATAACACACCTAACATACCTGTATATATGTTGGGAAATTGATAATTTTTTAAATTAATTAAAAGTGATATTTTTAGGCGATTTTTCATTTGTAAGAATATTCTTAAAAAATTATCGTGTTACCATGACAACAACTTTGGATACTTCATGTTCGGAAAATACAATGGTTTTGTCAGCAAGGCGAGGGCACAAAATAGATACAGAACCACAGTGCTGACGTGAAAATACGCCATCATATGACGCCATCCTGGACTGCATACGGAAGTTTTTCATAGGAAAACATAGATACAAAGTTCCGTGTGCACTCCAGGATGGCGTCATAGCACGAAAAAAAATTTCGGACGTTTTCCTTCAGCCAAAACACATAGGAGTGTCCCTTCTTGTCCGGTATCTATTCTGTGGCGAGGGTTTCTGCATGCATGTATTTTCTAGTTAAATACTTGTAAGTTTGATGTGCTTGCTATTAGCGAAAGTAAAATTGACAACTCGGTGTCAAACTCGTTACTTCAACATCCAAAATATCGTATCATACGACGGGATAGGAAAAGAGGCGCTGGGGGGACACTTGTTTACATACGGTCAACTATCACCGCAGTTCGGCGAGTAAACCTTGAGCCGGAAGGTATAGAATCCATATGTCTTGATATCAAGGGCTGTGGAAACAGTTGGTTTATAGTGTGTGCTTGTTATCGTTCACCTGGAAAATGTAAAATTTCGGAGTTCATTCCATCGTGCGTTGATGCAGCCGAACGAATGTATGGCAAACGTAAAGAAATTATATTCATTGGTGAATTTAATATGGACATGCTAATTGGACAAAATAACCCACAATGTCTCAATCAAGATCTTTCTAACTTTATAGAGCAGCTTTGTCTAACAAACCTTATTACGAACCCTACTAGAGTGACAAAATCTACCAAGAGCCTGCTTGATGTCATATTAGTGTCTCATCCAGACAGGTTTGTCACAAGTGGTAATTTGCATTTGGGAATCACTGACCATGACTTGATATACGTTGTTACAAAACAAAAACTTCCGAAAACAAAGGCCAAATCTATTGAATTCCGTTCAATAAAGAATTTAAATCATGCTTCTTTCAAAACCGATCTTGGGACAATCCCTTGGGATAGCTCATATATATTTGAGAATGTGGATGACGTTTGGCATCATTGGGCAAGCTTATATTCATCTGTGCTTGACAAACATGCACCAGTGCAGAAAATACGCTTGAGAACGTACTAATCAGTTACTTTGGATAAATCCAAATATTCAGAAACAACATGACAAGAACAGCCCGGAGAAAGTGTGTAATTTTTTCGCCCGGGGAGTTATGGGATATATACCTCAAAAATTGAAGTTTGCATCCCAAGATGCATTGCGTTCCGATTCCTTGTGATGTGAAAATGGCTTCTGATATTTTTAGCTGTAAAGTGCCGAATTTGTAGTTTTCATTCTTTGTTAATCGAGGGAACGAAAGAGAACCGGTAAACAAACGAAATACACAAAAAGTCTGAGTCAGAAACAGAATAATTTATTAAAATATGATGCTATAAGATCAAGTAATAAGCCGAGGTGAGTTTAATAGTTCATAATTTTTGTTGTGATTTTAACTATCTGATATAATTTCGTCTTCAGTCTTGTCTTTGTATTGACCTTACGAAAGCGTATTAATATCTTGTAGAGTCATGAGAGCATTTCCTGGTTTTCAAGAGTCGTTCTCAACTGTGGACAATCTCAGTTGGCCTATTGATATCACATACGTTTTACCTGGCCAAAGGATATTGTTTTCTGTGGAAGAGAGTTTAGATTTGCTGGGAATAAGGGAGCATGTAAAATTGCGAGGTTGGAAGAAAATCGAAAATTTCTTAGCTGAACAAGGTATGGAAACTTAAAACTAATTTGGTAATAGCAATACTATCATTAGTGTCATAATAATTTTGCCAATATGAAGAGACTGTAATTCATGTTGTGAAATGAAACAAACTGCCTAGTATCAGTATACATTTATACTCAATTTGCAGCAACTTCTAATGGTTATTCAATTGAGGCTATTTATATGCTACAGCAGAAGGTTGTCTTATCTGTTATGCTTCATTATTTGTTGTTGTTAATAATTACTCGCTGGGGCACTGTGCCCCAGACGAGTATAGGTTTCGGCACGCATTTTTGGTGGATGTCAGATGTCAGATTTCCGATGTCAGATTTCCGATCGTCGTTGATAGCCACAAAATAGAATATTAATGAGCTGCCTAATTTCCTCCCAATTATCCGTAAGGCTCCTGCCAATTTTACCCAAATGATCCATACATAGCCTTCCATTTTGAGGAAAATTCGGGAAAATTGAACAATTTTACAAGGAATTTCGCATGGAAACAGCTACCTTCGCAAATCGCAATTCGCAAGTTTATAAAAGTTTACACGTTTGACTGCGCTGCTTTATATTTTGAGAAGAAAGCGACACCGTTCGATTCAGCGTATGAAATTGTACTCTTGGATGTCATGTGTATTATAAACACCCGTATTCTAGCGATTTATGGCCTTTGAAAATGAAGCGAAATTGTATTGTTGAAAAATCTCTCCCAGTACCTATTGTTGATCACAAATCACTCGCACTACGTTTGTCCACAGGTTTGTCCTTGTATTTGTAATGCATCATGGCGCAATAAGGATAAAAATACCACCGTTCGATTCAGCGTAAGAAATTGTACTAATTACGAATGTCAAATTTGTTACTAAACAACAGTGTTCTAGCGATTTATCGCCTTTGTCTTTGAAAGCCAAGCGAAATTGTATTGTTACCAATCGCTCAAAATTATTAAACTATTTATAGAAAATGCAGTACGTTTGACCCTTGATAACTTTGGTATCATTGGCTCTCTTTTTCGGCCGTATACCAGTGGATTCGTCTCACTTCTCGCTTCCTTTTGATCGTATTTTGAGCCCAAAAGCCCCAAAATATTTTACTTTGAACGTTTTAAAGCGCAGTTTAATCCTAGACCAACTGGCGGCTGACAGTTTTGAAGAAGAATGTCAGTAGCGGTACTAAATATAACTTTACTTGTAGGGCCTACCGCATTTTAGTATTGTGTTATTAAGCCTTTCGCGCTCGTGTTCGTCGGACTTTTCCACTTAGCTCGGGTAAGAGCTGTGTACTGTATGTATCATGTACATTGTA